TACTTCTTTGGATATAAATCATACTATGGTCGCTGATTCCCAGTTGAATGACTCCTGAGCCATTAATTAATTCAGGTTTGTTTGTAAAGGCCAAATCGATTAGTGTCTTAGACTTAGTTGTTGCCGTAACTCGAGTTGGCTCTTTAATTAATTGCTCAAATTGAAGGGTATTCATAATTTCGGCAAGTATGTTTGTGTGAGCATTGGCTTCATTATTAGCCAGAAGAGACCAATCGCAGTTAAAATCACCAATTAAAATAACTTCCTTATTTTCGGAATCCATTTGGGTAATTAAATTTCGTAGGTATTTAGGCATTCTTGCGAGCTATTCGGTGGTCTATACCAACTATTAACTATAAATGGTCTGGCTTTCGGCTTCGTAATTTCAAGTGTTAATGTCTCAAGACTTTCATCGGTGAGATCATCTCTCACTGTATAGTTTAAAGAATTGCGTAGGTAAATTGCAACTCCCCCACCATAATTACCGATTTCTATCCTTTCTTACAATGTCGTATCCATTAATCTTACTTTCATAATCTGAAATAGAGGAATCGAGCATGGTTTCATTTAAGCTAATTATATCGAAATATTGCTCTTCAAGATATATTCTTAGTTCTTCGATAGGCTTATATAAACTTTTAAGAAATCTATCATCCAATTTATGATGTACGGGTTAAAAGGCAATTTCTTAACTTTTCCAAATAGTATGTCGTGTGGAACACTGTCAAAAGCCTTGCTAAAGTCAAATGATAGTATTCTCACATATTTCGCACCATTATCCAACCCTTTCAACCAACGTATGTTGACATTTAATTAAAGCCATCGTTGAGTTATGTCCCACTTTATATGCGTATTGGTCAGAATCGATTGAGTGATATATAACTGCCTCGTCCCCAGTCGCTTGCTATCAAATAATTAATTAGGAAAAAACGAAAATTAATGGGGGCGCGCGGATCGTCTTCCCATTTTCCTTTGCGTGCTCGTCCTTAGTTGCGGGCGTGCGCCTAAAGGCGTGCGTCTTTATCGGGCTTGCAGTGCACGCGCTGATCTATATATTACTGATATTTAAATTTGATCTATATAGCGGAGCCTGCGGAGGAGGCAGGATATATAACATCTGCGATCTCATGATCATTTTTGTATATACATCTCTCAAATTAGCCTGCATGGCAGGCGGTCTAAAATACCGCATGCTGGGTTTGGCAGTGTAATTTGATAACCGCCCACTTTTTTGTCCGGGTCCAATTAGCCAATCAGCAAACACTAAATATATTAATAATCAAACTGTCAAACATGTTTAAAAAGCCTGGTTTCCATATGGTCGTAAAACTAAAGTCACGATCTTTCTCAACGGCCAGTTTATACTTGCATGTAAATGACATATAAATGACAAGTATTGAGTCTAGTTATAATCACTTCGCGTATTTTCAGTTCTAAAACGTTGTATTTCGGCTGATGACAATCTCGTACCCAGAGCAATGCCTGTGCGCGGGCTAGGATGGCATTGGCTCTGGGGAAATTGAATTTTTCCTGTGCTGTGATTGGTTAACGTTTATCAATCGTGCATGCCGACAAAGAACTGGAACCCCTAAATTTAGGGGTTCCGGTTGTCAATTTCCCCAGAGCCAATACCATCCTAGCCCGCGCACAGGCATTGCTCTGGGTAGCGAGATTGGGCTGATGAGAAATACCGTGACTCAATCTTTACGACCGTTACGACCATATGGAAACCAGGCTTGAGATCTAGGACGGCGTGACGACGACGGTTAGTAATACAATGAAATTAATAATATTTAAGAAATCGAATCCAAAGGGAGATTTAATTTAGACGCCCTCCATGGTCTGTTTACAACAGGTAAACCAGAGCTTTTACGTCCTGTGTACAACGTTTGCATTTTAGTTTATATTATAGCATTTGTAAATTCTGAACGCTGATTGGCTAAGAGCCGTGTTGATATAACTCAATGTCAACACGGGAAATTTTCCGCCGTTTGTAAACACGGAAATTTTTCTTATCCTTCGGGCTTTTGACATTGCTATATTATAAAAAAATATAAAACATTTTTTCCCTATTGATATATAGTTATATCAACACTCGTGGAAGTTGGGAAAACTCGAAATTGAATGAAAACACTCCGCCCTTCGGGCGTCGTGTTTCCACACAATTTCTCGTTTTCCCAATTCCACTCGTGTTGATATAACTGTATATCAACACGGAAAATGTTTTATATTTGTTAAATGTAAGAAGTGATACTCAGCCAATTGGTAGGCTATTACTGTGGAATTCTACTCAATAGAATGTCTCTGTTTTGATCTCTTCAAGCTGTGTTAAATTCATGCGATTGATATTGGGTTACTAGTAATCTGACATGGTCCAAACACACCCTAGATCGATGTGCCGCAGCCTATTAATAGGATGCTTGGGTTCGTACGATCTGCAACGGAAATCACGGATAATAGGATTCGCCGTGCATTGTATTTGGCAGTTGTACGACCAGCGCTGGGCTATGCCACTCAAGTGTGGTCGCCGCAGTCGGTGGAGCTCATCAACCGAGTGGAACGTGTTCAACGCCGAGCTTCAAAGTTTATTCTAGGCCTCCCATTCATGTGTGACGTATCCTATAAAGACAGACTCATTTCGACAGAACTTCTTCCCCTCTCATATTGGCATGAATATTTAGATTGTATCGATATCTCAAAATTCCTTACCTGAACGTATTGCTCCCGTAAGAGTCACAAGATCATCTGCTAATGTCAACGCAATCTCATTCCGTCAACGAAAACATAAAACAACAACTTATAATCGATCATTCTTTCTTCGAACAACTAAACTTGGAACTCTCTCCCGGAGCATTTAAGGCTTATTAATCCATCTTTTATTCAATTTAAGAAAGGAATATTAGCATACTACTTGACTGCATTACGATCCTGCTACAACGTTGACGATTCACGAACTTGGAAGACTGTCTGTGTCAAATGTAACACATGCAGAAGTCTCATCCGACCATTAACTCGCTGTTACTAGAGCCTAGAGGGGCGTTTGCACATTGCGATTTGTCCTGTGCGATTCGGGTTCTGGTGTATGAAATTCATTTGATGCCTCAATTCCAAAAATCTGAATTGAAGCGAAACTTTAAATGCACAATTGACGCGTGCCTACTCGATTGGATTCGCCAAAATACGAGTCGTACACGGCGGATCGCTGTGTGTAAACGTACCTTAAGTAAACTAAGTATAATTACATAGGTGATTATTGAAATTTTTCCACGCTGATTGGTTGCCGTTGAGGTGATTATAACGCGATAATCACCTAAGCGATTTTCGAAATGTTATGGCGGCCGTCGGCCGAAGCCGTTTTGACTATTAAATGACGAAGAAATGTGTATTTTTATTTTTTTCCCCAAATAATCACCTATGAAAAAATACAAAACAATGTTTTGTATTTTTTAAAATTACTCAGTGGTAACCGTAACTTTTAATCACCTATGAAATTATACTAAAACAATTATTCGCCTCAGGCTCGGTGGTTATTGTTAAATGAAAACTTCGACTTTGTCCCTACTCACCGGTAATCACCTAGCCTTCGGCGAAAAATTGTTAATTATTTCTGTTTTCTATATTTATATTGATATTTTGTAAAGGGCCCACTGTAATTGGTGTTAAGAGGCAGTCCGTGTAAAAACCGACCACTCGAATTTCTTAAGATTACAGATTTCCTTCAAACTTTCTGTGTGGAAGAAGTCATTCATAAAATGAACAAAAAACGTTGACTTGGAAATTGTAGTCAGTTTTAAAAATTTTTTCGCGATTATTTTCGGACGCGTTCGAAAACAAGTTAAAACGTTAATTACGCAAGTGATACTTGAGCTTTTTTATACCTCACAGTTCATCTCACGCTTTTATTCTAACTTTTTGAAACTTACATATTTTATTATTTCCTGCCTAGGCATAAACCTAAACTAAAAATTATCCTGATCACTTGAAGCAAACAAAATATTGTGTATTTTTAAAAACGTCTTTCAGACAGCGGATTAAATATTCGTGTTAGTATGCTGGCGGTAAATTATTTTTTCTCAAAAGTGCAACGGTATCAGGTATCCAATCTATTGCAGCTACTGAGTATTATGACACATCTACTAGAATAAATAATAAAATCTTTGGGCAGTGTGTTTTTCGCTTGGCAAGCGCGTCATGAATATAGTCAATTTTCGCTAATTCGACTAATTATAAGCTATAATTTGTTAATGCATTCACTTAAATTTTTCGCGTTAAAAACATACAGAACTGTTTACTGTTTCAAATATGGCTCTTTTTTGGATAGAGAGTAAGTTATAAGTATGCCAGCAATTATATATGCTTGAAATTTTACGTTTATCGGTATCATTAAATACTACATGCATGGTATATATAAACAAAAATGTATAAGAAAAGTGCGGGAAAGGATATATGTGTGCCAAATTATACGAATGCCTTGAAGGAGCACTTTTTTCTCATCATAGATATAGTGCAGATTTATTTTGCCACTATAATATGAAACAAATATTTTATACATGTTTAATATTTTCATGTTTTTTAAGAACTGCAATTACATGCTCACTGTTAATTTCGAGGAGTCAAATTGACTCCAAAAGTGGAGTAAATAAAAAAGGTACAGAACGACTCCTTTTTTGGAGTAAATTTTACTCCTTTATTTACTCCATTTTTGGAGTAAATCTCCTCAAAGAGTAAAAACAACTCTACTTAAGGAGTAAAATTTACACCAAAAATGGAGTAAATAAAGGAGTAAATTTTACTCCAAAAAAGGAGTCGTTCTGTACCTTTTTTATTTACTCCACTTTTGGAGTCAATTCGACTCCTTTGGAGACAAAATGACTTCTATATATCGGAGTAAAGAAAAGTCTTTAGCTATCTTTAGAAATCAATAAAGACATTTTTCGAGTCAAAATAATTTATTATCCCTACAAGTAAGGTATATTATAGCAGGAAATACAATTTGCTGTAACATTGTCATAATATAATGATATACTCTTACGCCCTATAATATTTAATGCAGTTCTAAAATGAAATTTTCATTAGAATGATATCATGAATACATGTGGAATACAATTACAAGCCTGTCAGCATGAATTGAACCTGCAGCATTGCAATTCTACCACAGCCCTCTGACCTAAAGAGCCCTTTTGCCAAGAGGTAACCACAAGTTGCTGTATATATACCATGGTGGTGTCATTGGTAGTGTATTAAATAAACTGCCCTTGATGACACTAGTATTATGTACATGAACTCTTGGTTACAGTAGAGCTTGATTGACTCTCAGGGCGATGGACTCTTAGGGCTTGAGGACCCTTGACGGTTAAAAAGCTGATCAGAATCACAGGGCAGCAGGTTCCATTCCCAGCACAGTATTATATAGTTATCGTTCAAAAAATTTACATTTACAGAAAAGCTTTAACCCATTAAGTGGCAGCACTCTCTCCTTAATAAGCAAAAATTGTCTGACCACATTAGACAGAAAAAGTAAAAAAGTAAAGCAAATTGCCACTTAAAGGGTTAATATTCTGTTCAATGTAGAATATTTACAAGTAAAATATACTGCATGTATTAAATGTATGTAGTGTCACTGCTCAATCAAACATGTCAAGCAAGTCCATTAGTAAAAATTTAGTACAAAACAAGCTGTATACCACAAGTCGGCAACTCCATCCCTTGCATGGTTTGGTAATTCACAAAAATTCTCTCCAGCAAAGTGTTATTTTCCGCTGGCTGAGGCACGAAAGAAGCGGAAAATGTTTTCTCACACACTGCTGGGGGCCTGATGAAATCAGGGTGTTACAGGGTGGTGCAGGTTATATGAGCATATTTTTGTTGTTGCTCACCGTAGCTTGACAGTATTTTTTCGCTCGCGATTTATTTAAATTTATTGAGGCTATTTAACCTAATTTCTTTCACGAAAGCCATGGATAAACGTGACAAACTACCGAAGAGGTCGTCGAGAGCCTTAAAACGGCTCGAGGCACACCTGATTAGCCCAAATAACGAGGAAAGTTTTCGCGGCCATGTGGGCCATTCATCAACGGAAGACAGCCCAGCCGATAAAAATGCTGGTAGTGCTCGGCGCAGTGTTCGCGAAAGCGAGGATCGCCGACGATCAAGAAGTCGTTCGCGTAAATCAAAATCTAGTGGTCGTGAGGGAGGAGATCGTAGCCGTAGTTCTCGCCGAAGCGGTAGAAAAAGTGCACGGGAAGAGAGTCGAAGCCGTTCGCGTTCTCGGGCAAGGAATACTCGAGGAAAACATTCGCGCCGGTCGCACTCGACGTCAAGGGAACCGCCAGCGTGGGCAAAAGAACTGCTTTGCCAACAACGGCAAAATGCAGTCGATTTAAAAAAGCTAAAGTCGCAGGTCACAGGAAAACCAAACGAAGATTCTACGACAACAGCGAGGGCCGTCGAGCACGAGTTTCGCTACGCCGGAAACAAGAAACAATACGACGTCAATCACTCAGTCATGCAAAGAATGGATCGCGCGCTGGCCGCGGATAATCTAGACGAAGTGTCGAAGGAAATTAGCGCAGGTAAGAGCTTACTTATGGAACGAAACAAGCATCTCTTACTTGCTGATAAATATGGGTGGGACACCGTAGAATGTTATTCGGCTGAGCCCTTAGCTAGCGATTCGGAGGATGAGAAAAGGATTAAGAGGGCGATAAAAGAGAGCAAGTCACTGCGGAACGAGAAAAAGGCGAGTAGTTCGCATGTAAAAATTAAGAAGCCTTTTCTCGGAGCAGACAAGTCAACTCCCAATGTTGTCAAAGGGCAGGGCCCCTTCAACTTTAGAGCACGTAGGCAAGTTTTTCCCCCCTCAGGGGACAACCGAACAACATGTTTCCGATGTGGGAAGCCAGGACACTTTGCCAGAGAGTGCCGCTCAGCCAATGCCCGGTTTGTTATCTCGGGCGCTACAACGACCAACCAAAATAGTTCCTCAAACTGAGGCAAATTCCTTGACAGAGGCAGAACTGTTTCATGAACATAGTATAATAGTTGATAATTTACGAGAACACTCATCGGTTATTGTTAAAGGAAGATTACGGTCGAACCTGACTTTTTGGGAAAACATTGCGGCTAGCAGTTGGGTTCTTGATATTATTCGTAATGGATATTGTTTGCCCTTTCTTGAGCAACCAGAGAAAAAATTTTCAAATAATCATTCATCCGCTACTAACAATGCGGATTTTGTTACAAAGGAACTTCAAAAACTTGTTTCAACAGGGGCTGTAGTGGAAGTACTGAAGCCTGATCTGACTGTGTGCAACCCCCTCGGTGTAGTTCAGAATTCGTCTGGGAAATTACGGTTAATCCTGGATCTTCGATATGTAAATAAACATCTTCGTGTCACAAAATTTAAATATGAGGACATCCGGACTGCATGTGACTTATTCTCGAGGGGAGATTGGTTTTTTAAGTTTGATTACAAAAGTGGCTATCACCACATAGACATCTTTCCAGAGCACACTAAGTTCTTGGGATGCGTGTGGTGGTTTAACGGACAACTAAGATATTTTAAATTTGCGGTTCTCCCATTTGGCTTGGCAAGTGCGCCATTTTTGTTCACAAAAATCCAGAAAGCCTTAGTCAAGCACTGGAGGTGCCAGGGTATCAGGATTTTTACATACTTGTAGGCCGTGGGATGAGCATCCAAAAGATGCAATTCCGTTGCACCCCTCGTGGAACTACGTAATTTTCACATGAATAAATAGATAAAAACTTACTTTATCAGAATCCGTTGCTCCCCAAGTGAAACAGGTGCACAATTGGGAGAAAAATCCCTCCAAAGTTTGATATTTTTGCGCTTCGAAATATTCGAACCGCCATTATTTTGGTAGCAAATACGCATGCGCAACTCAGTCAAACTCGCACTGCGCACGCGCAGATTATAAAAATAGATTCTCACTGGGGGGTTTCCCCGATTTCCTCCGCAAAAACAACAAAATAAAATCACAGAATACTGATCAAACCTTGTAATATAAATACACTCACATTAAATATTGTTAAAAACACATTGTATATTCTGCTTGCTCATATGCTAAATCACTTCAATTCATTGGCTATTGTTTCAAAATACCGTTTTAACGTTAATTCTACTTTATATTAACATCCTAATTCAATACAAATTTGTGTGAGGTAAAAAACCCACCTGTATCAAACAGGACGGAGAATAAAAAATATATATGCATATAATTCACACGATCAAGGAACAAATGAAATATTTCGCTGACTTAAAGCCTTGGCCAAACGTAAGAAACAATGTCGCGGAAATATTCGTGATTTTTAATTGGCTTTTATTGCAGACGCAATCATTCCAGAAAGCAAATTATTTCCTACCAAATTCAGATTTCAGAAGCATTTTATGAAACACTCTTTATCTGTTTGCCGACGCTGATAAGACAATATGACATACCGAAAGATTGGAAAGACAAATAATATGACAACAGTGTTTCCCAGTTCGTCCCGGGCTTTAAGGGATATTTATATAAACTCGAAATTCATCAAAAAAAAATAAATTGGGAGGAAATATAAAATCCATAATTTCATTATAGCTATCTATAATTGAAAGAAATGTTTTCATCTTTGAACCCAGATTTTCATCAGAGCAATAAAATCCCACTTATTGGATCCTGGCCAAGGGCTTGCACGCTCAAAACGAGATTGCATGTATTCTGCAATAAGCTGTCCTGGCTTTTGTCTGGTAAACTTCTACTTCTCGTATTTGAACTATTTCATGTATTATATTTATATTGTGACTTAAGTTGGTATTTAGCCACTATCTAGAATAACAAGGAACGATTCAGCCTGGTTTTTCGTGTCCACACTAGTTGACTTTTTCTTATAGATTTGCTGCTGTGAGTTTCAGCTCCTCCACCAGGGTGCGTTTTAGCTTCTCAGACATGACCATACTGTTAACCCTGTCCATGAGAGGGATATATGTGTTGATAATATAAATACTGTGGATCTGAATGAGAATATCGAATAAGTAAATAAATACTGATCTACTCCACTGATAATACATACATTACCATCATTGTTCACCTCAAATCATTAATAATTCATGAGCAAATTAGCCAACCATATTGCTTTATTTTGCTCACATGATAATACTAGATCCCTTATGAAGTATATTGATCCTGTAGTGTCCTAGGACTGGATTAAAATTAATTCAGTCCTTGGACTGGATCAAAATTAATTAAGTAGTGATTTATTCATATGAGATGTCATTTCAAATCCTCCAATTCGGACTGGACTAGATTTCAAGTCCTCACATTTTGATCCAGTCCTCTGCTTCGCCTCAGACGTGATCAAATTGTGTGGACTTGAAATCTAGTCCAGTCCTCATAGTCGGATTTGAAATATTATCCCTTGTCAAATCAGATGCCAATGGTGGCCAAGGAAGATTCAGTTTTGGTATTTCTTGCACCTTTTGGTGAAGAATCAATACAGCATTGTATAGAATTTGTAACTCATTGACTTTAGAATTTCCCTCAGTTTCTGTGTTGGAATTCACATCATCATCATCATCAATGGTACAGCTCTCTTCATCAAAGTCCTCATCATTGTTTTCAGACTTAGGGCCTGTTTATATGGAAGCCGGGCTGGCCTGATAAGCGAGACAGCCTGGTAAGCAAGATCTCGCTGTGTAGTTATTTTTATAGTAAAAATTTATCGTGCGTTTATATGAACAAGCAGGCTGGCCCGGGTTGCTGAGATCTTGTTTGAAAGAGGCATATAAACATTTACAAGCGGGCTATCCCGGTTGCCGGGATGAAAGTTCAAAGATACCGCCGCAAGCTATTTTTAACAACTGTCAAAACAATACAATGTAACAAAATTGTCCTGGCAAGCGGGATGAAAGTTTCTCATATAAACACAAGAGAAATTCATCCCGCTTACTGGGCTGTCTTGCTAAGCGGGCCATCCCGGCTTCCATATAAACAGGCCTTTAATTGACATATGTTCCTCAACCAATTCAGAAGAATCCAAATTTTCCACATATACAATCTCACTAACATTTCTCATTTTCGGTACACAGAACACAAGTTGGGGATAACTTTTCATCAGTCGTTGCTTGAGTTTAAAAGCTCTATATTTAGATGCATCCACATTCTCAGTGTCCTTAGCAATGATAACAAATTTCTCCAGCAAATCTTTCATATACTTTATTTGGTTATTTCCGATGACCTCCATCTCAATTACTTTCTTACAGAATACGTCATAAGACTTCTTGTACACTGATGCTCTCGTTGCTTCTTCGTCTCTCTGGTGAGAAATATTATATAATTGCAGTAGCAAACTTTGTGATAGCGAATTTCCAGAGCTACACAGTCTTTCCCCTGGATTTGCACGAGTATCTGTTGATCATTCTTTCTCTCGGCAGCTGTACGTAGAAGACCAGCATCAATTGTTTTTGCCAACATGAGTGGGGTTCTTCTTCTCTTCTTAGTTACCTGGTGTGAAACAAAATAAATTATTAAACTAAATATCTGCTAATAACAAGGTTGGATGTTTGTAGCATAGAAACTACTTTACCCTAAATAAACTTAATTAATCACAATTCAATATATTTTAAAACCAAACCTGAGAATGTTGTGCACATTGCGCTAGTATTATACCTATCAAAATGACCATACCTTGTCTAGTGAGAACCACAAGGCGTCTCTTCCACAAATAATACATATCTCTGGGAGTACATGCGCGTTTCTTTTAGGCAGGGCCTTTATATTTATAGCTTCTGCGACTGATTGACGTGTAATTTTTCGCCTTGGTTCTATTGCCTCCACTTCCACGTGTGATTCTTTGGTAGAAGTTAGAGTTTTAGAGCTAGTTCCTTCTCTGTTATCTACGGATCTTCTCTTCATCACAAAATCTCTTCCAGCATTTCATATGATGGTTCCATTCTAAGTTAATGGTGTCAGGGTTCTTCTCGATGTATGAATTGACAGATCCGTCATCGATGTTCTCGTACGATTTATTAGCTATTTCAGCTTGTTGACATTTAAGTTTGACCCATTTTGACATACGCTCAAGAAATTTCTTAAGCCTTTGGCGTTTAACTTTGCAAAGTTGCTCCGTAACGCCATCAAAATGCATAAAACATGAGGATATTCGAGTTTTATAAATATCTTCAGCCATGTTTATTTGCATAACTGAGCGTGTTTCCACTTCGAAGCATGTGCGTTGGTTGTGCGCGTGCGCAGTGCGAGTTTGGCTGAGTTGCGCATGCGTATTTGCTATCAAAACAATGGCGGTTCGAATATTTCGAAGCGGGAAAATATCAAACTTTGGAGGGATTTTTCTCCCAATTGTGCACCTGTTTCGTTTGGGGAGCAACGGATTGTGATAAAGTAAGTTTTTATCTATTTATTCATGTGAAAATTACGTAGTTCCACGAGGGGTGCAACGGAATCCGTTTTCTAAGCATCTTTTGGATGCTCATCCCACGGCCTATTGGACGATGGCGCGGGTGCCGAGTCAAATTATGAGGATGCAAAGAAAACATCATTAATGGTTCAGCAGGACATAAAAGCTAGCGGTTTCGTGGCTAACGAGGAGAAAAGTCAGTGGGAGCCGGTTCAATGTGGGGAACTGTTAGGGTTCATGATAGACTTGGCCTCAGGTGTGTTCACTGTCCCGGACAGGCGTGTTGTGGCTTTTAGGGACGTCTTAAGTAAAATTATGACTAATTCGTTTGTGGTTTCGGCACGGCATTTTGCTCAATTTACTGGTTTACTATCATCAATGGGGTTGGCCCTTGGTCCTGTGGTGCGTCTCTGGACTAGAGAACTCTATAGATCCATACAACAGTCGACGAGTTGGGATCAGAAATTTCGCTTATCCGAAGAGGGTAGAAATGAAATTCTATTTTGGCATGAAAACTTTTCGAACAGTGGCCAGCCCATTTGGGCTGCATGTCCAATCATTGAAGTGATGACATATTCCGATGCCAGTGATGTGGCATGGGGTGGATATGCAGTTCAATTGGGTGGGCAGACAGCTGTGGGCAGCTGGTCGGAGAATGAGAGTGTAAAAAGCTCTACGTTTCGGGAGTTAAGGGGTGCGAGATTGGTGTTAGAGTCAATGGCACCACAGTTGGAGGGAAAGGAAGTGCGTCATAGGACAGACAGCCAAAGTGCAGAAAGAATTATGACAGTCGGTAGTCGAAATCCAGAACTACATAAGGAAGCCATCTTGCTCTACAAAGTATGTAGAGAACATAATATTCGTTTGTCGGTTGAGTGGGTCAGTCGAGATTTGAACGAGGATGCGGACTACCTATCTAGATTGGATGATCCAGACGATTACAAGTTAGATCCAAAAGTATTTGGATCTATTGACAATTGTTGGGGCCCACACACATATGATCGGTTTGCTAGTATGAAAACCAACCAGCTACCACGTTTTTCAAGCAAGTATATGAACCCCGGTTGTGATTCGACCGACGCATTCACCGTTTCTTGGGTGGGTGAGAACAATTGGCTTTTCCCTCCCCCATACTTAATCCCTCGTGTGTTGCGCCATATGAATGCCAATAACGAATATGGTACTTTGCTTATCCCTTACTGGCCTTCAGCACCATGGTGGCCGTTGCTCATCAACAAGCGGGGTTGTTGGAACTCGTTTGTGACAGGCTGCCTGGAACTTTCTACATACAATGGCATATTTATATCAGGATCATTGTCAAGCAATATATTTACTGCGGGTGTGCCGCCTTTCGAGCTGCGGGCTCTCCAGTTGCGATTCAAGTAGCATGTGGTGGGAGGTCGTTTGGACCAAAGAACCCACAAGGTCGTGTGGACCATAAATCTACTGAGGTCGTTTGGACCTGTAGATGAAAGTACATTTATATTAGTGTTGAATAAAAAATCATTGCCCTATTTGTCGTTTGGACTAGCAAGGGGTAGGTCATGTTGACCGGCGAATATTTTGTTGAGACTGTATTTACGCATGTATTAGTTTTAACATTAGGTCGGTTTGACCTGTGGCATGTGTAGTAGGGTTTGCATGGTTGTGTTGACCATGGCATGTACTGTATATAGATACTGTTTATTATATGAGCTATTTGGGCTGAGGGGTTTAATATAATATATGGTTATGTAGGTTAATCTGCCTTGTTCTTGCAGACCATAAATCTACTGAGGTTGTTTGGACCTGTAGATGAAAGTACATTTATATTAGTGTTGAATAAATCATTGCCTTTTATGTCGTTTGGACTAGCAAGGGTAGGTCATGTTGACCAGCGCATATTTTGTCGAGACTGTATTTACACATGTATTAGTTTCAACATTAGGTCGGTTTGACCTGTGTGCATGTGTAGTAAGGTTTGCATGGTTGTGTTGGCCATGGTATGTACTGTGTATAGATGCTGTTTATTATATGAGCTATTTGGGCTGAGGGGATTAATTAATATAAGATATGTTTATGTTGGTTAATCTGCATTGTTCTTGTTATTGTTTGGTGCATGTAGTCTCATTTATTCTTAGTGCCATGTCCTAGTGAGATTCAAGTTGAAAACTGGCTTGATCTTGATCGGTTTGATGATCCAGAATTGAAGAAGCTGGCTGAATTGCTGCCTAGTATCATCATTCAGGACAGAGCTGAGGGCACTATAAAAACGTATATTAGTGCCTATAGGCTTTGGAAACGATGGGCGTGTACTCATGGCGTATGTCCAATTCCGGCGGACGGGACGGCCTTGTATATTGTGTCCTTGATACAACAACGACGATCGGTGTCGTCGATTAATTCAGCAGTATATGGCATTGATTGGATCCATAAAAAGAATGGCTATGGACTTCCTAGCGTACATTCTGTTGTGAAACAAGTGACTGACGCAGCTAGGCGAATTCTAGCGAAACCCAAATCAAGAAAAAAGCCTTTATCTAGCACACAAGTTAAATCGATTGTGCAACGGTTGGAGAAAGGATCCCTTGCTGATCTCCAGGTAGCAGCGATGTTTGCATTGGGATTCTATGGCTTCCTTCGCTGGGATGATCTCAGTCGTATTACCCCTGAACATCTCGAGTTTGCACCAACCCATCTACTTGTTCACCTGGAGAAGAGAAAGAATGACCAGTTCCGGAAAGGAACGCAAGTCCTGATTGCAAGAGCGGACAGAGCACCATGTCCGGTAGCTGTGGTTGAGAAATTTCTGGGGAAGGGACGTCATAAGCCAGGAATCTCCATTTGGAGACGTATCCAGAGTACCAAATATGGTCAGGTACTTCGGAGTACGCCTATGGCATACAGCCGTGCTAGCGAGTTGTTCAAGAAAGAATTGGTGAAGGAAGGTCTTGATGCTAAAGATTATGGTCTTCACAGTTTACGATCTGGTGGTGCTACAACTGCAGCTGCTCTGGGTATTCCAGACCGCCTGCTGCAGAGGCAAGGAGGGTGGCGTACTGCAGAGGCAAAGAACAATTACATTGTTGAGTCAAAAAACTCGTTACTTCATGTTACAAAAACAATGCAGAAGGCATAAATTGTATAAAATAACTCTATGCGTTGTGTGGTTGCGGCTGACGCTGCAGCAGCTCCCAGCGGTGTGTGAGAAGTGTTATTTTCCGCTGGCTGAGGCACGAAAGAAGCGGAAAATGTTTTCTCACACACTGCTGGGGGCCTGATGAAATCAGGGTGTTACAGGGTGGTGCAGGTTATATGAGCATATTTTTGTTGTTGCTCACCGTAGCTTGACAGTATCCCGCCCACCCAGCCCTTTTATGTTTATTAGTACAGAACGGCGTTGGATTGGATATATGTACCTGTTAGGTTAATTATTAAGCGAGCATTTGTAATGTATGGTAGTTTAAATTAATAAATGTCAAGCTTGCGGCTGACGCTGCAGCAGCTCCCGGCGGCTGACGCTGCAGCAGCTCCCAGCGGTGTGTGAGAAAGAATAACATTTTCCAAATAGACCATGAAGTTCTTAGAATGCCATTAATGATTACATATAATACCACTTGTTTAGACAACTTGCCTTCTCCTGGGAAGCTTTTGTTGAATCCATATATTAATGACAATCCCTAGTAAGAAAACAATATATAAGGGTGATATATAACAACAGCAAATTATTGATTGATGTTTGTGATGTTACTCTGAGTGTGCATCCACACCGGGCAAGCTGAAAAGTTAGTTTGGCCATGGTGGGAATCGAACCTGCGGCCTTTGGGATACTAGTCCAATGCTCTGTCAACTGAGTTACATGGTCAAGTCTGTTCGAGTTGATGATATTTTGCAACTAGTTCCAACGAGTCTAGTTCCTTCGATATCAGTGTACAGGGGTATTCAATGTTACAATTATTTTGTGTGTGTTGGTGTCATGTACTCAGGTGAATATATGATGTTTGTGATGTTACTCTCACTGAGTGTGCATCCACACTGGGCAAGCCGAAAAGTTAGCTTGGCCACGGTCACAGGTTCGATTCCCACTGCGGCCAAGCTAACTTTTCAGCTTGCCCGGAGTGGGTGCACACTCACAGTGACATCACAAACATCATATATTCACCTGAGTACATAACATCAACACACACAAAATAAAAATTATTGATTGATTGACAATTCATTTGCTATTTTTGGTTGTTTGCATATACAAAGCAAGAAATACAAAATTCAAATGCTTTTACTCATTTAATGTAAGCATGCAATTGAACTAACATCATCCAAATGAATACAACTTTTCTGGTAAAGGGTGTTTAAAATAGAAGTGCATAATTGACCCAAAATTCATTGTCCCAAAATCTTGCTGATGCCAAGCTAGGATTTTCCATATAAATTATATACAATCACCAACGATTTGGCACAGTATTACCCCTGGGCCCTGGGTAAAAAGATCTCTGTGATTGTTTTTGTCAGTTTATACATTTCGAGACTGTCTGCAAAAGTATGAGTGATTGATCACTTGTTGGTTCACTTAATTGGGAAATGTGCTTCTACTATATAACTCAGTCTGGGTGATTTGTTTTGGCAAGCCTGCCCATCTAAACAGGCTCATGTAACCAGACATTCATCCAGGGAAAGCGAGCTATAGGCAGGTTACCTGGGTAGCTCGCCTCTATTTAAGCAGCCCCTTACATGTGTTTTAGGCTGACTGATAGCCGATAGGAGGGCTACCATAACAAGCACATGCCATACACTGGGTAACATTAGATGATTAGGTGGG